GAGTGAATGCAGAGTGAATGAATGAATGCAGAATGAATGAGTGAATGCAGAGTGAATGTAGAGTGAATGCAGAGTGAATGTAGATCCTCTTGGATCCTCTGACTTGATGAGTTCAGGTCGTTTACCAACATCTGATGCTGATTGATTGTCTCTCTAACTGTCCTCTGTCTCCTCAGCAGGGACAGACCAGGTCCAACCAGAGGACACCAGAACCAGAATAATCTCCATTGATCCGACTCCACTGATGGCTGATCAATCAGTCTGATCAGGTTGATCATCTCTGATCATTGATCCAGTCAGACTTTGGATCAGAGCCGATCTCAGTGAAGGTTCTGATGGACCAACAGAGACACTTCCTGGTCCTCTGGTCCAATCAGTAACAGGATGCAGCCTCTGATTGATCACTATTGATTATTGATGACAGAATGAAGATCTGAAGGAACTGAATCATTTCTGATGCCTGAGGAACCAGTTCATGACTGGAACTGGAACTGGAACCGGTTTGGATCCATTAAAGGAGAAGAGTTCTGTCTGACCAGAACCATCATCTTCCTCTTCCTCTTCTTTCTTTTTCATCATGTATTCAAACACAAACTGGAAAAATCTCTCAACTTTGTACTTCCAGTCCAGAATTTGCAGCTTTTGACCTGGAGATATTTTTTGCCTTTATGGTTTATTTAAGATTCAGTTCCACTCATTATTACATTTATTAACTTTTATTAGATTATAATGTAGACAGATTATTATGGTCCTGGATTATAATCTAACTCTGGGTTTCTAGACAGGCCTAATCTGTCTATCTCTATTTCTATATGAATCCAGCCTCATTAATGTGCTTTCAATACAAATAATAGAAGCTTTTTTATTTCACATTTTTATTTTAAACATGAATTGAATATAAACGTGAAGGCCTACTGATGCCACTGGCATGAACTGTTACTTTGCATAAAATGCAGAATTTTAACATAATTACAGATTTCTGACGTCACTGGAACCAGTTTAGACCAGAAACTGGAGCCTGAAGCAAACAGGAAGTCAGAAACTTTAAACTGTATTCTGGAAACTGATGTAAACATTCATTATAATATGTAAAACAAGCATTTGTATTTCAGAAATGAATGCATCATGTAGCTACAACCTGCAACCGTTAAATTGAATTTTATATTGAATTTTACTCTTTTTTTGTTAAATTTCATTATTATTTATATTCTGCTTCCTGTCGGGATCCAGATTCATATTATGAAGCAGTAAAAATGTAACTGGATCCTCCTGCTGCTGGAGTTTTCCCATGTGACAATGCTGCCACCTTGTGGCCAGAGATGAACACTGCGCTCTGTTCTAGTAGAGTTGGGGGGGTTTTGTCTAAAGGAGGCAGATGGTTAGAGCGTCCAGTAAATAGTTTCTGCATCAAACTGGTAAATGTGAAAACTTCTCTATCCTGTTTGAACTGATCTACAGAGCCTTGTGAAAGTATTCGTCCCCCTTAAACTTTTCTATCTTTTGCTGCTTTTTAGGCTTCAAACATAAAAATCTAAAAATGTTAATATTTTGTGAAGAATCAACAAGCAGGACACAATCGTGAGGTGGAACAAAATTTATTAGATATTTTGAACTTTTTTAACAAATAAAAAACTGCAAAGTGGGGCATGCGATATTATTAGGCCCCTTTACTTTCAGTGCACTGAAGTAAACTCAGTCCAGAAGTTCAGTGAGGATCTCAGAATGATCCAATGTTGTCCTAAATGACTGATGATGATAAATAGAATCCACCTGTGTGTAATCAAGTCTCCTATAAATGCACCTGCTCTGTGATCGTCTCTGGTTGTGTTTAAAGTGCAGAGAGCATCATGAAGACCAAGGAACTCACCAGCCAGGTCCCAGTTACTGTTGGAGAAGTTTAAAGCCAGATTTGGATACCAAAAGGCTTCCCAAGCTTTAAACATCTCCAGGAACTCTGAGCAAGCGATCGTATTGAAATCAAATCTACCAACACCCGGCTGTCCCTCTAAACTTTTATCTGGAACAAGATGATTAGGCCTGTTGCGATAAACAATAAATCAATTAATCGCACGATAAATGAAAATTATGAACCTCATTTTAATTATCGGCTTTATCGTCACTTCCTGCCTTTTTCTCTTTCTGTTGATGACACTGGATGAAAAAAGGCTCAGCTCCGGTGCTCTCCACTGACCCTCCCTTCCTCATTTCCTTAGTGTAATGCTCAGCTCACACTACACGAACTGTCGGCTGAT